ACGGAGTCTAGGACACAGGACAGTCAAGCAGCTAATTCACTTTGTTGTCACTGAATGAAAAAAAGAACAGTAAGGCACTGTCAACTTATGCCATTTCTTGGTGCTTGTAGGGTTTTTTCCTCTACTAATATGGTAAAACCTGTTGGTGAAGCAATCAGTACTGTGCAGTGCACAGTACAACAGTCACAGAAGACAGAAATTAACCAGGAGCATGAGAGAGCAATAAAGAAAACCTCTTTTGTTCCCAGAATGCATAAGAAAGGCCTTCATGTGCAGGTGGAGAACACCACCAACCACCAGCCCTTTGATGTGGAGTGGGAGAGGTTCTTGCGGAAAGTGACAGCTCAGATGGGTCTGCCTGAGCAGAGGTACCATTTGCACATTATAAGCAAATATCTTCAGCTGGGCTGTTCCCAATGGAAAAAAGGAAGAGACTAAGATGGAGGTTACAGTTAGGGAAAACGAGATGGGGACTGCAGTTCTCCTGCTCTTATAAAAGCAGGGGAAGACCACCGCATTTCAGATGGCTCTCACCACACCTTCTTTTACACCAGAGCACAGAAAAAAGTTAATTTTTCCAGGTTTGGATCTCTGTTCCTACCTCCAGCCAGCTCATGCTGCTTCCTCCACGTGTTCAGAACCTCAGCCTGAGGACCACGTCCATCCCATTCAACAGCACTTAGGAAGCCAAGGCACCTTTGGGCTACCCATCTCCTGAGAACAAGTTCAAACCCCTCCACCAGTTACATATGGATTGCCATGAACCCAAGCCCACAGAATCTTCTGCAGTGATCACAATGTGTTTGTCAGACAGCCTGAGATGCAAGTCTACCCATGCACAGCAGAATCATACCTGCCTTTCTGGCATAGGAACAATATGGTCCTTTCCAAATAGGAGGACAAAACTAAATTCCAATCACTATGAAACTATAGTAGAAATTATTTCCTCTTTTTTTAATTCTTTTTTTATTCCTGTTAAAAAAACAAGGAATCTAAGGTCTTCCCAGATGTGATAAGTGAGGTATGGGGAATGTATTCTGTCACAGATCCCACTCATACTTCTAAAGTCCTGGAGAGAACTATTCCAATTTTTATCTGTTAAAGCTTTGTGACAGACCATGCCTACACAAATGCTATAAACCCAGTACATTTTCTATTCAATACCTATCTTGCACTTTCAAAAGATCAGCCAGTCTGGCAAACCTCAGTGATTTTGGAAAAATCATACATAGATGTTTCTTTGGGTTTTGTTCATCATACTGTTACCAGAGTACTTAGGGCAGAGATCATCCCTAACATTAAAAACAAACAAACAAACAAACAAAAAACCAAAAAAACCCACCAAAAACAAAAACAAACCTCCCCTAAAACCCCAAACAAAAACAAAACAAAACCAAAAACCCTACCACAAAACCCAAAACAACAATCCAACCCAAAAACTAAATAGTGCACAGGAAGAGTTACAGCTGTTCAGTGTTGACTGTAATCCACCCTTTTCTTGTACCATTGAGCTTGCAAAGTCAGCCACCCTAAGTACTGAACATCTGAAAGTCCTTGGAGGGACAGGAACATGACAAGACACATTAGAGAACTGACCAAAACCACAGAGGTGGGACTTCCAATATCAGCTTCCTCAAAACTGAGGGAAGCTATAAATAAAGGAACCACTGCCCTTTCCTCTCCAGTAGATGACTGCTCACATTTGAAGCCCTGAACAGTCAGGTGTGACAAATGCAGTTTATCATACAGCTCTGAGATTTATCCTAGGTCTCTGCAAATTGTTGTATCATGTAGATAACCCCACGACACACACACACAAACAACCACTTATACCACTACAGAGCAGTATGAAACTCGCTGGTTTCTATTTCTTTAAACCCACACACCAGCTGAGGCTCAACCCCGCCTTCTCCGTGTCATGACAAGTGTAGAAGTAGTGAACATTTTCATTTGTCCTGCATCCAGCTAGCAAGATGATGTACAGGGTAAATAGCACATATAAGAGAGAGGAACTCTTTAGGTAGAAGAAAGGCATGCTATTGAGACTGAGGAGGGCTTAATATGCAATATGTGTTTGCAGATAGTTAGCCAGAAAAGCACATCCAAATAGCATATAGTTAAATTCCTGTTGAGAGCATCCCAGAGAGCATGGGAACTCAGTTACAGAACTTTCTCAAGCATAGATTCTTGCATCTGCAAAAAGTGCAGAGACATCATGTATAGTCTATATCTCCAGGCACCCCCAGTCTCTAAAAATCAATCTGTTCTAGATGTTTCCAACCAAGACTGACCATACCTTCCCCACTCCTAACTCCATACCCCATTTATGACTCATATCCTCCATTCATCCTTTGATCAAGGCTTGCAGAGGCTTAGTGTTTGTCTTATCTAATGTCACCTTTAATGCCAAGGGCTACTGTTCACAGTAATAATGCCTGCAAATGTGTGGGGCATGGCAAAACAGAGTTAGAGCAGCTGCAAGCTGCTTGTTTGGGAAGAACTTCAGCAAAGGCATGGCACGTGTGGGAAAGCTTCACCCTCTCATTGCCTGTGGAAATGCAAATCCAGATTCTCACATCTTAAATTATCACAGCTTTGACCTCTTCCAATTAACAAACTGCAGGTATTCAGAAAAGCCTGTGAAATGAATGTTGCTTAAGTCAAGGGACACCATGAAGTATGGCATAGGGATCCTAGGCAATTCAACCTTAGTGTGTCAAACCTACAGAATGCTTAAGACTTTTGATCTCATGTTGAGACCTTTCATGTCATAGGTTTTCTATTGCAACCTGCCTTGTGGAAACCATGCACCATGAAGGAAGAAATTGCTGCAGACACACAGAAAGACCAGCCTCTTCTCAGGATGAGCGGATAGAGCTGGTTCTCCATCACACACGCAAGACAAAGACTTATTGGGCTAACCCTTCATCCATAGAAACAGCTACAGAAAACATGATAAATCTTACCAACTTGAAACTTTCCTTGCTTAAGCTACTGGTAAGCTTCTTCCTTAAGCTTTCTCTGTATCCAGATGAAAGGTGGAAGTATCTCAACAAGCTACCAATCTGCTCAGTGGAAGCTGAACTCTCCCCTGATCTCATTGTACCTTGGCATGAGAGGGATACCAGCTCTTCTTTAAACCATCATCTTGCTGACGTGCAGCATTGTAGCATTGCTCCTGAACAGGAGCATCTATCTGCACTCCTGTTCACTTGACACGTGCTGTTTCCCCCTCTCATATCCAGCTTGGCAGGTGCAGCAGCAGGGATGAAGCCAATGGTTGGCAGGGTACCAGGGCTCCTCCAGGGCCACGGTCACAGCCTGTGTGGCCTGTCTGGTTACTCTTCTTCTCTCTGCTGGCTGGGCACCAACACTTCCAGATGGAGAGCTGGGAAGCAATCCTCCTGTGGGGAAGCTGATGCTGATGCTGCACAACACCTCCGCCTCCCTGTGAAGCCTCTGATACTGGCCATTGCCTGTCACAGCCTCCCAGGTTAGAGAGCAGTTTGTACAAAACTAGTTTGCTCTCTCTCTGGACAAATAATGCTTTGCCAGTCACGGCTCACTTCGTACCCAACCTCTTAGGGGGTTCCATTATTATTGCCCCATGTGAGTGTCTTTTTGATACAGGTGTTCTGTCTGCTGGGTCCCGGTTAGCAATTCTGTGATTGCAGGCAGCTGCTCCCCGGCAGGTGGGCAGCAGATTGTGAACAGGCAGAGGATACTTCACCACAGCTGAACTCTGGTCAGTTCACTTCGAGATCCTGCACTCTGGTATTTTGTATGGAGCTGGGTATCCCTCACTCCAATAAACTCTGCCAGGGGAACAGAGCAAATGTCAGCTTTTACTGCAGGGTAAGCAAATAAAATTTCCTTTCCCTGAATATTGTATTCATATATATCAATAAGAATCACACTCTAATTCACAGGTATTAAACACAGTAAGGCTTATTTTATCCTTAAGGGAAAAAGACTGTCTTTACTTTCCATCAGTGGAAAAATTCCCACGGGATTCTCTTTGCCCACCATATGTGTCATATTTGCTGCTGTTTTATCCATAGCTCTTTTTTTAAGCAGGTTGCTATAGTCTAAAATTAGACCACACACATATCAATAACACCAGACAGAAGGAATAATCTGAAAACCAGTAAAATCTTTTAATCTGTGTAGATTTCAAAGAGAACCAGCTTTGTTTTTCAAATAAAGGCAATCCAATGTCATCCTCATTAAAGTGGAAAAGGCCTTTGCCAGGTATTTTGTCAGTATCTGCTTCTCTCTTGCTAGGCCTTGCAAAGGCAGGGTTGATTCCCTGCGGTAGCAGATCGTCAACTCTGTCACAGTATGGATCGGATTTTAACAGGGATGCTTTTTGACAAACTTCTTCCCCTTTCACCCACATCTCAAGCACATCCCTATTCAATCTTGCATGTAGCATCTAAGAGACAACTCCACCAGCCAATTCTCAGCAAACGTAAAGGATCTATTTTTAGAAGTCTTTAAGATGGCAAGAAATGCTGACCTCAGAAAACTGTGAATAACAAGCCCCTTATTTCTTCTTCCCTTCCTGCTCTCTCTGTGGAAGCAAACCACCACTATCTGGCCAAATTGCTCCAGAGTCACCACCAGGCCAGAGCTGCATTTTGAGCATCTCCACTCCTTGATATATTCCCAGAAATCTCGTCCATGCCAGCCTCACAGGTCCGATTTGAATTCCTCCGTGCTGTCAGCCTCCTCGACTTCTCTGCATGCAGCACGGGGAGGGGATGCGGTGACTCACCCAGCCTCGGGATCCCCCCTGCCAACCCACTGTTTGTTTGAGTGATTTTATTGTTGAAGCTCTGTTGCCACATTTGTAACTATACTTTTTTTTTTTTTTTTTGGTGACAACCAGAAGTTCAGTTTAATAAACAGATGCTGTTGTGGGCCTCTCTTACTCAGCTGGATCAGCGTCAGCCGTTTTTCCAGGCTGTGGTCTCTGTACTGCACACTGAGTCAGAGGCAGCCCTGCACAGATTTCTTTGAATCGCTGGTTTCCTCCCAGAGACTCTTGACACTCTGCCAACAAAACAGGGCGTAGCTCATTAATTTTATTTTTTTTCCTTCTTCTCTTTAAAGGCAGTCTGATTCATAGTAACTCCTTTAAAACAGAGTGGAAAGACACCACCCTCCCACACCACCGGAGGAAACTTAAACCAGCACCAGGTCACTCCCCTTCACTCCAGCTCTGTGCTCCAGGACGTCGGCACTGCAGCCCGGCACGCTCCTTCTTCCAGAGGTGCAGCCCCAGCCCCAGCCCACACGGTAAGAGCTGTTCTTGAAAATCCTCACCAACTTTTCGTCCCTCCGTGGCTGCTCCCCTCTCCTAGCACAACCAGTCCGCCTTTCTCCTCTGCTCCTTCAACTTCTCTTCATCTTGGCACTCGAGCTGGCTGTGGCACACACACACCTTGATTTTCATCTTTTGCTTTGAAGTCCAGCTGCAGCGCGGGGCAAAGGGGCACTGCAAGGCGCCGTGGTTGCAGCCTCGAAGTGCTGGCAGCAGCGATGTTGTTTTCACCTCCAGGACACGTGCAGCCAGGGTGCAGGCACAGGGTGCCCAGCTTGGGCCAGCTCACGCTCAGGAGCTGCTGTGTGCTTTTGGTGTAGCATTATGGGCAAATATGGAAAAATGCCTGCTTGGAATTAAGGCTGCAGGCTCAGTTTTTCTGGCGCTCAAATATTTCTGCTTGTCTCTCTCCCCTCCATAATTAGTTTGCCAAGCTCTAATTTAAAACAATAGCAGTCATTCCAAGTGAAGACTGGGAGGCCCCAAAGGTGCAGACTCTGGGGTGTAATGGAGACAATCTCTCTTTTTTTGGGGTTTCTGGCTTCTGAGGCTGAAGCAGAGCCCCAGTTCTTGAGCGAAGCCACGTGAAGGGTAGAAATGCATATTACACCTTCTCTGGCAGCACAGACACTGGAGTGGGGATCACTGCGAGGTGAAGTGGGGTGGAATTGCTAGAAGCACCATGGTCTGCTGGTAGGGTGTGTGTTAAGGAGATTGAGACACTGATGGGTAGTGTAGGATTGCAGAGACTGGCAATTTTCCCTCTTTACCTGCCTTTTTCCATGCAATCTCTCCCTCTTTCTTTCCCTCTCTTCTTCACCATTTCTCTTGTTTCATCTGTCTGCTATGGTTTGCATCCTGCGGTCAAATCTGAACTATTTTTGAGGTCTGAGAAAGGGAGTGCAGCAAAGCCAGTTTGTTGGCACCACACTGATTCCTGTTGCAGGAACTCAGCCCGCCCCTGCACAGTTTCAAGGGTCTGAAAAAGACTGAGCAGTGTTTAGCCGAATACAGCCAGGAATGGGTGGGGCTCAGGCTGGGACTGTGGATGATTACTATATGAATGAACTAGAAGCTGAGCTGACCGTAACTTTTTGGAAAAAGGATGGATTTTGTGCATTTTCAAGTCCCCTCTGTCCCTGTTGCTTGTAGCTCAGTTATGCAGTGGTGCCTCCTGACTGAGAAATAAATGTGTCGGAGTGGTGGGAAAACTGACTGAGGCAGCGAGTGTTTCCAGGGCAGTCAGAAACCAGAATGGGAAGAAAGAATTTTTGGAAGTTGTCATTTAATACGATTAACAAATTATATTGATATTAAAAAAAAAAAAATGCTGTGGCCCCAGAACAACTTTCACTCAGAAGCTTTGAATTCCTCAAGGCACCTCTAAGAGCAGATTTGCCCAGGAGCTTCCCACTTGACATTTCTGGATGTAGTGGGATTCTTTTCTGGGCAAACACTCGAGGGAGGTGGGCATGAAGAGTATGAAAACTTGGAGCCCATTAGCTGCTGCTCCTGTGATAACAGGGGTTTGAGCCAGCCTCCACCCAGTGCACCTGGGGACTGTGAGCACTGAGGGAGTGAGAGCTTGAAGGCAGCTTATTTCTATTTGCTCCCTTGGGGATTAGCGTCGGAAAAGGATCAGAATTGAGGTACCTTACTAACACTGTAGTGGCTGGGAGGGAGCAGCCCCTGAAATGCAGCTCCTTGGTGGGAGGCCCTGCACACCCCTCTGAGGAATTCCTGTCAGGAGGCTCTGTGGAGGCTCCCCCAGCTATGACTAACCAAGCAAACATATGACACTGCTCTGAGCCATTCATCCCTGCTACCCCAGGGATCTCCACCGGGCACATGCCATCCCCAGGGAGACGTCTGACAGCTACCAGTCGAGCCACACCCAAGGACACATGAGTGCAGGAATGACGTGGGATCTTGCAGAGAAGCACCAAGTTTTGGAGTAGGTGTCTCAGCTGCAGGGCTGCTAGAGCTCCCACAGTGAGACCCTGCTGAGGACACAGAGCCCTGGGCTTGGAAAACCAGCCCATCTGGCTTAGCCGGTGGTCTTTCAATTTTGCAGTGTGGGAGCGATGCAAGTGTACGCAGGAATTACTGTTTGGTGGTCTGGGGTGGAGCAGAGGTTGTATTTTGAAACAGTTTTGAAAGAGATTTGCTGATAATTGCCAGCATGTTTTTGACAAAGACTCACCTCAGGGCCTTGCTTGTAATGAGACTGGGGAGATTTGCTGTAATCTAATGCACTAATTCGTCACCCTCCCAGCCGCAAGGCTCGCACATGGCACTCAGCCTGTGCCCACTTCTGGTTCTTCAGAGCAAGCCAAAGCGGGAGGGAGCCTCCTTCCATAGCCCTGCCCGCTCCCATGGGGCTCCACGGGCCCCAAAATCCCCAGCTGCCTGCTGGGACACCCCTCCCTTGGCATGTTTCCCCTTGCTCACTCCCCAGTTCACTGAGTGCTGCCTTCACTAAGTGCTCCATGGATGGCAAATGAGGAGACACCTGATGCTGGGCTGGAATTTGCCCTCAGATACTCAAGTGCCCTGTAAAGCAAGAAATAGCACTACTAGACCCTTTTGATCTCAACAGATTCCTGTGCCTGTACCTTTCAATAGGGAAGTGACAGCACTGTCACCCAGCACAATATAAGGCAGGCTGCAAGGCATGGCACTCCTAATTTTTTTCCTTCCTTCTGTTTTAACAAAAAAATTAATGAGATAAAACTAAAAGATGAGATTTATTTACCCTTCCTTCAAAACAAAAAGATGAGATTTATTTACCCTTCCTTCAAGGCAGGGAGAAGTAAGAGGCCTGGAGCTGCTATTTTACTCCTCTAAAGGGGAGGGTGAGAGAGGGGATTTCCATTATTCACATCTGAAGATGGATGTTTAATACTTCATTGGTCTTTTCTGCTGAGGGCAAAGCAGCATTCACAGAAAAGGAGGCTCTTCTCCATGGCTCTGCCAGGATTGAAAACCAACTCATAGCCACAGTGCTGTAGCAGCGGCAGTGAACAAATGTGCTGAAGCACATCTCAATTATGCCTGTATTGATCAGGGCCAGTCCACACCCCATCATCCCACAGCATGACACAGGGTGTAGGAGCAGTTCCCCGCATGAACTGCCCAGAGGGAAATCTGGGGGCCCACTTAAGCTGCTTTCTGCCATTACACTGCAGGGAGAGCAGCAAAGCAGCACGTCTCGGGGCTGCCATCTGGAGTGCAATTTCTTCAAACCCTGCTGGGAGAGTTTTGGAAAGTACCTCCTTAGCTAGAACAGCTTGACCGTGAACAAAGGCAACTCTGGCCAAATTTGCAGCTTCATGCACCCTGCTCCTCCTGAACTGTTTTCAGGAGGACAGAGAGTATATGGAAGGTGCTCTCTTGGTAAAATATAGCCAATATATATAGCCAACCAAATATAGCCCATGCTTTGTCATAGAAGGGAGGGACAGGTTAGGACAACTCAGCTCCAGAACCCACATTGCCCAAGGGAGTGACAAGTTTGCCAAGATCATAATTAAGATCTATCCCCTTCACTCTGTGAAAACTAGTCTGTAACAGAGGCGTAGGGAGACACCCATGATGAGAGCTCAGGGACAGATCTGGACTAGGTCATCCCCAGTTCTGCAGGAAATGCACTGAACTCGCAGCACTGGAGTGGCTGACACAGGTGAGCAGTGACTCATGCTGAAGGCTTAGCCCTTGTCATGTTGGGCCACCTGGCAATATGTTTGTATTTGAGGAAATCCAGGGTGAGGACCTTTGTTGTCCTTTTGCCCTTGCAGGGCAGAGTCTGCTGAACGAGAGGAGTTGTGAAAGCAACTGCCACGACTGGGTCCATTGTCCACATTCTTCTCATTCCAGAGAGATATCTTCCCTGTGTTGGCTCCAGCAGGCCTCAGGGAAGGATAGTGATAACCATGGGAGCAACAGGGGAGAGCTACAAAATGCTCAGAGCCTGGAGTGGGCTGGTGAGAGGACTGCTGAAGACTAGGTCCAGGAATGTGGACCACTGCTGGAGGAGAGCTGGGCACATGCACTGGCTGTGACAGCTTAGGCAGCTGAGCCACCCTGCCTGTTAGCTGGCCATCAGTGGCTGCAACTGGGCCAGCGTGGTTGCCCTCAGCAGAGGAGCTTTTGATATCTCCAAAGCCACGTGTGACATGAACCAGCTTATACCATACTGATCACAGGTGTAAGGAGCCCTCTGAAAGCCAGATGAGGTATTCTACACAACGACCACCTTTGTCCCACCCTGCACAGAGCACTGACCAGCTCCAGGCTACACAGCGTCCTCCTGTTTATACACATGCTCCCCCCAGTTCATCACTTGGGCACTTTGGTTGAAAGAAGGAGTTTTCACACAATTTTGCATTTTAATCCTGCACAGTCTTTTCCCAGCTGGCTTGCAGGAGCAAAGGCACCCTGAAAGCAACCTGACCCAAAAGCTCGGATTCTTTAGATGCTGGAGTCACACTCACCTCAGTGTCTCATAGGCTGTACTGGCATGTTCAGAGGTTTTGCAGTTTTGAAAGACAGACACACCATAAGATACAACTTCTTTTTTAGAGTTACACTCCTTTGGAAAAGAAAAAAACGGAATATCTAGACAAAACTGTCTATGTAAATCATAGGACTGCAGTTTTAACCCAAGAATGCAGCCAGAAGTACAGCTGATGTGGACTTTACAGTCCTTCAACCTCTATCTCAGGGCTGCTGCAAAGAGGAAAAGCAGGAAGTCCCACCAGAAGTGATCTGTGTTCTTTTGCTCATAGCACTCTGTAACCTGAGCTTTCCTGTCAGAGCTGTCACATAGCTTCTCCCGCTGCCAATGTGGCACAGATAGATCCGTGCACGCATGAAGAAGCTGTGCACACACACAGGCACACACACAGAGTTCACAGGGAGCCCACAGATGCACACTCCTATTCATAGAGGGAGACACACAGAGCTGCAGATGCAC